CAAAAAAAAAATCATACTCAAATAAATATGTTTTCTTAAAACTGCCACAAAACTTATCCAAGTGAAAGAAAAGCAGGGCAGACAAGAGACTGGGTCTAGGGTTTGATCTATGCAACACCTGAGTGGGTGGGTGGAGATGTAATTGAAATGCAGACGCCGGAATGCAGGAATGGCCTCAAGTGATCATCAGGTGAGGATAGCCCATTAACAAAGCCAAGTTCTAGGAGAGAATCACACACAATAAGCTCCCCCAGAAATGTTTTGACTTTGAATGCTTAAAAAATAAGCTACTCAAGCCACAGATAAGAGTTCCATAGCTTGATGAATGGCTCTTCAAATATTATGGTCTGCCTTTTGAAGTCTTTCGGCTTTAGAATTATTGCCTTGAAGTCACAGAGCAGGCTGGTCCAGCCAGATCCAACCCTAATTCCTTCTGGCAGGAAAAAAAAGGACATCAAGGCACTGGAAATAGAAGACAGAAAGTTGTAGATGGGGGGGCAGCCATGTCAGTCTGTGCAAGCGTTATAGGTGAAAACAAAAGAAAAAGTAAAAATAAGATGGAAACAGGGTGGCACATTAATTATATCGTCCCCACTACTAATCTACTTCTGTGTCGGCTGGGCCTAGTGGGGGGGTTGTAGTCCCCCAGCATCTGGAGCAGGATTATGGGTCGCTCCCTCCTGCTTCCATAAATGTATTTGTAGGATTTACTGGAAACTGTTTCCTACCCACTCAACGAACAAACATTTAGGCAGCACTAATCTTGCATTGCCCCCACCCCAAGAGACAGTGTGGAGGAAAACTGTACTGACTGATGGTTAAGACTTGTGGTTCCCAACTTTGCCCCCCGAGATGTTCTTGGACTAAAACTCCCAGGAGCCTTCACCACTAGCTATACTGGATAAGATTTCTGGGAGTTGTAGTCTATCTGGGGAACCAAAGTTGGGCTTTGACCCAACTCCGGGAGACAGTGGAAGACAGGAGGGCCTGGCGTGCTCTGGTCCATGGGGTCAAGAAGAGTCGGACACGACTAAAAACAACAACAACAACAAAGTTGGGAAGCACTGATTCAGAGGGTTACTCCATAAACCCAAAGGAAGAAGTCATGAGCACCATCTTTAAAAAATGAATGTTTAAGAAAACCACGTTTATGGCTGTTAAGTGATAAGCAATCAGCTCAAGAAAACCAGTCAGGGCCGAAAAAATGGAAGGAGTCCGTGGCTATCAGCAAAAGGCGGGATAAACGAAATAAAGCAAACACGAATTTAAAAAAAAAAAGGCCGATCTCCTGGAGCTGGTTGCATTTCCCTCCACCTTGTTTGAAAAAATTGCCAGACGAAACCAAAGAAAAGCGTCTGCGTGCACCTCGGCAGCGCCCCCTGCCGTCGCTCTGCGCCCGCCGGCCAATCAACGTGGAAGTTCCCACGCGTCCAGGATCTCCTATTATGGCACGTGACGTCATCGACGCTCGAAGGGGGGGCGGGGGCTGCTTCTCCTTTTTAAGGACTCCCCCTCCCCGGCCTGGAATGAATCACAGGCGAGCGGAAAAGAGAGGCGGAGGAAAGCAGCGCTCTTGCTGGGGATCAGACGAGCCGCGTGGCTGGACCAAAGCGAGAGGAACGAAACACGTTGCCTGCTACACAGTACGATAGGTAAGGCTGCCCACCGGGCGAAGGGCAGGCGGGGAGGATTCATCATCATTCCTACCACCAAACACACGCACGCACGCTTCTGAATTTTTCTTCTCAAAAGTTTTCTCCTGCTTTCGTTATGGGCTTGGTGTTGATTTTGGAGCGGACTTTAGGGGTCCCGTAGATGGGGAGTTTTTTTTGGGGGGGGGATTTCGACTCGACCGATGGTTGCAGATCCTAAAAAGTTATTTTTTCCCCCTCCCTCAAAGTATTTCCCCACTCTTGAGCTCTCGATCTCTTTTCTCCCCACGAGCCGAATTAAGCGCTGGGAATAACCGGGAGCGCGCAGATTTTATTTATTTATGTGTATTGGTCTTTTCCCCATGAGCCGAATTAGGCGCTGGGAAGAACCGGGAGCGCGTAGATTTTATTTATTTATGTGTATTAGCTTAAATTTGAGATCCGGGACTGGAGTAGAAGATGACGACCCGGGGGGGGGAGAATCTTACTCTCCTGGGGGGGATTTCTAGGGCCGTTCTCCCACCCCTACCTCATTGTTATTACCGCATTTCTCTGCTTTAGAGGTTCCTTCTCTGGGTCTCCCCCTTTTCCAAATTTCCATTTGTCCCCCCCCCACCAATTTGTCCTTTCATCCCATCCACCCACTCCTGCCGTCCCGACTCACACTCTCCTGGTTCTTTAATTTCTCTTCGCCTTCCTGGGTTGTTCATCAGACCCTTTCCCCGTGGCCGAATCTGAACTCGGACCCATCCCCTGGAGCCGGGTTAAAAGTCCTCAGAAGTAAACGCCCCTCCCTCCCGAGTTTCCAGGGCATCCATCCTCGCTGGGTGATACCCTCTTGCCGCCAAATAATTCGCCTTCAAGGTATTTTTTGGGGGGTGCAGGCGGTGAGGTCCAGTGGTTAGCGTGCTGGGCCGCGATGGGGGCGAGGGAGGTGGTCCTCTCCACGGAACCGTGAAGCTCAAGGGATGCTCTTGGGCCGGCCCTTCGGTTTGTCCTCCCTTGCAGCGTTCTTGGGAAGATAAATCCGGGAAGGAGCTAGTATTGAACCCGCCAGAAAAAAAAACTATGGGTGATATTTCTTGATATTTCTGATTCTGAATAACAGCGTCCCAATGCCCCCCCCCTGGTGGAATCGCTCACCCACCACCGGGCGGTTCACACGCCCCTTCTCCATCCCATAATGGCTGTTTCTACCCCATTTTGCCCACTTCTTCCGCTGTCTTCTGTATTTCCTCTTCCTTTGCTGTTACTCTTCTCTGCGCCCCCCCCCCCGCCGCCAACTTCCTTGGGGCTGATGAAACTGTCCTGTAACTTTTAACATTTTGCAACCGGTATCTTCTGATAATCTCTGGGGAGGAGGTTTAAAGAGGGTGGCAGAGCCTGGCCCTTCTTCGGTCCCTCCCCTCCTGCCCTTCCTTACCTCTTCTGGGAATACTTACTATTATTATTGAATAAAGACACTCCGTTTATGCCAGTCTCTGGTTTCTTGCCAATTTCATACTTGTTTGTCTCTTTACATGTTGCTTTCTTGAGTCTCTGAATGCCATTTTCAGATAGTTTTCAAGGTTCTAATTGGTGCATAGGTGTTTTTTTTTTGCAGTGGGTGGGTAATTATAATTAATTTTAATGTTTAACTTAGTATGTTTTTAATACTATTCTCTGTAATATTGTGAGCGGCCTTGTGTCTCCCCTTATTGGGAGAAATACAGCCTATATATAACACAAATAAGTAAACAAGCCTCTTCTGATCCCCTAGTCTGCAAGATGCTTCAGAGTGCTGCTTACAAAGCACATTGTCTGCCCCTGTTTTGCAGCTATACTGCCCCTGTGCCTGGAGGTTCTGTTCACTTTGGTGCTGCAGTGTAGCCCTTGGCCTATGAAGTTGGGGTTTGGGAGAGCTGGTTTTTCTCCCCACTGGGCCATAAAACTCACATGGCCACTTCTCTCTCTCTCTCTCTCCCTCTCCTATTTCATCACTTTCCTCCTGATTGACCTCTCCAGATTGTTTTATCTTGATTGATGGCAGCCCCTAGATCCTCCCTTCCTATTCTCTGTTGGGGGTCCCTGGTGAACTTCAGGTTTTCTCTTAATGACTGGCTGTCTGAAAAGGGTTTTTAATGGGTTGTTGTGCCTCCCTGCTTTTTAATGTGGTGTTATTATTGATTTCATTTCCCAGGTGTTCCTGGACTTAAACTCCCAAAAGTTAGCTGCGCTGGCCAGGATTTCTGGGAGTTCTTGTCCAAGAACATCTGGAGACCCAAGGTTGGGAAGCATTTGGATTGAGTGTCAAGTTAGGTTGCCTGAGACCCGAGTTCAAATCCACACTGGGTCATGGAAACTCACTGGAAGGCAGCAATAGTGAAACCATTCTTTAAATCTCTCACATGCCTTAAAATCCCCTATTAGGGTCCCCATAATATCAGGCACAACTTGGCAATGTGTGCACACAGACCTACACAACATGAGTCAGGCTTTATCTGGCTGCTGTGTTGGGGGGGGGG